GCGAACTGGTGAATACCGTTTCACTCCCGCCGGCCTAAATTCGAGGTCCTCCGAGAAAATTTCAGTCCAAGCCAGGACCTTTACCTCTCTGTTGTCTTTCATAGGCCCGGACTATATCGGGAGCTGTCTCCAGAAGTTCAAATCTCGTAAACCAGCGGTCGTCTTCCGGTTCTTGATAACTAAAATGAACCTTGTACTGTTTCTGTGGACGACCTCTACCTCCAGTTCTGAATACATCTTCAGCCACTATGCCATCGATGTCATACCTTTCATCCATATCGGGCGGAATCATCGACCTACGGGATGGAAACTGATCACTTGTTTGACAACGTAACAACTTCGATGCATGGAAAACAGGGTAAGTGTGGAGGTGTGCTGGGAGTTCTGTGGTATAGGACGGTCCATCTTCGCCGCCCTTGACTTCCAGTACCGGCCACGGTCCTCTATATGTAGGCAGTAACTTCTGCAAAATGTTCTCTTCAGGCGCAAACTCTTTAGACTGGACCCAAACCAAGTCGCCTACTTGAAACTGTGAAGGGCGACGATTCTTGTTCGCCTGTTCGATCATGCGGTGCTGGGCCTTTCTGAGATTCTCAACAACAGTTGCTATCTCCTTCTCGTGCTGAATCGCAAACTCCCTGGTTCCGGGCAGTAACCTATGAATCTAATCCCGGTTGAGTCCCTCAAACAGTCTACGCGGTCTAAAGGACTTGTGCAGTTCGTTGGGAGTGCAGCACGTGGACAAATGCACACTGTAATTATACGCACTAGCTACCTTTGGCAACATCTCATCCCAGTTAATCTGATCTGGTCTAATGTACATGCGCAGAACTTGCTGTAGGATCTTGTTCATTTGCTCTGTCTGACCGTTAGTCTCAGGATGGCGGTCGGACGACATCAACAACTTAGATCCATATACTCCCATGAGTTCCTCCCAGTTCTGGCTGGTAAAGCGGCTATCTCTATCGCTAACTATTGACAGTGGGATTCCATTCTCACTAACCCAACAGTCAAAAAACTTTTGTATCACTAAATCAGTACGTGCCTCTGACGGCAAAGGAACAAAAATGTGTACTTACTGAAACGGTCAACTATGACCATGACTTGGCTCTTGCCATGCCTACTCTTGACTTGAGTGTCCATGAAGTCTATGGACACTGAGTCTCCCGACTGATCCGGAATGGGCAAGGGTCTGAGAAGACCTAACGGGGCACGCGTAGAAGTCTTGTTACGCTGGCAGACTTTACAACTGCGAACATACTCTACGCAGTCATTCTCCATCCCTGGCCAGGTATATGCGCGCATCAGATTGGCTAAAGTCTTTTGCCAACCAAAATGACCCTCCGTGTCGTGGCATTCTCCCAAAATCAGACTACGGATCTCGTCATTAGTGGGAATGCACAGGCGGTCAAATACATTAGTCTTCTCAAAGAGCAACCCTTCAGTAGTGCGGTAGTTCGGCTCAGTCTCTGGGGCCTTCTTGACCCTCTTGAGGAGGTCACTATAGATAGGGTCCTGCGCATAGGCTTCCCTAATCTTCTGCTGCAAGTCCTTCCCTATGTCTAGGTAATGTACTATTGCCCCAAAGTAATCAGCTCTCCTACTCAGAGCATCCGCAACTACGTTATACTTTCCCTTGACTGGCTTGTACTGATCTATTTCTACGGCCCACCTAGTAAGCTTAGGTGTAATTTTGGCATGCGTCTTTAACCATCTCAACGTCTCATGGTCTGAGTAGACTTTGAAGTACCTCCCAAGCAGGTAATGCTTCCAGTGTTTTAACGCTTGCCTGAGAGCGTAGAGTTCCCTCTCATAGGTAGATGGCGCGACCTTTTTTGAAGGCATTCTGGCGGACATGAACTCTACGGGTCTATAGCCATGGCCACCGTCTTGCTGCAAAACCGCACCTATGCCGTACTGACTAGCGTCCGTACTGACAACAAAGGGCAAGGACGGATCGGCTACCTTAAGGACTGGATATTCTATCAACGCCTGTTTCAACTTCTTCATAGTAGACGTGCAGTCCTTATCCCACTTCCAGATGGTCTCCTTCCTGAGCAATCTGCGGAGAGCCGCAGCGATGGTGGAGAAGTTCCTCACGAATTTCCTAAAGTAGTTTGGTAGGCGTAAGAACGACCGCAACTCTGTCAACGTACGCGGTGTTGGCCATTCTCTAATCGCTGCGATCTTACAATCCTCTGGCTTAACGTCGTCTCCGTCTAAGACGTAGCCTAGATATAGGACTTGGGTCTTCGCCCAATCGCACTTCTTTGCATTGATCTTGAAGTTGGCTTCCCTCAGCTTCTCCAAGACCTGCCTGAGATGACATTGATGCTTGTCGAGGGTCTTACTAAACACTAGAATGTCATCTAAGTAAACTATAACAAATTTGTCTAACCACGGCCTAAACAAGTCATTCATACACCGCTGAAAAGTTGCTGCCGCATTGGTTAGTCCAAAGGGCATCACTATGAACTCGTTGTGCCCATATCTAGTCTGGAACGCTGTCTTATACAGGTCATCAGGATGAACCTCTATCTGATGGTATCCGGAATTCAAAGGATGAACCTCTATCTGATGGTATCCGGAATTCAAATCTATCTTAGAGAAATACTTGGCCCCTTGCACTCGATCCAAGAGATCGTCTATCCTCGGCAGTGGCTCAACATTCTTCACTGTAATAGCATTCAGACCCCTGTAGTCTATACACATCCTTAGCTCTCCCTCTTTCTTGGGGACAAAGAGAACAGGYGCTCCAAAAGGAGATGAACTGGGCCTAATCCAACCCTTTTCAAGGAGCTCGTCCAACTGCTTGCAAAGCTCCTCTAACTCCCGCGGGGCCATCCTATACACAACGCCCTTAGGAGTTCTACTGCCAGGCTCTATCTCAATATGGTGCTGGATGGGCCGCGGCACTGTCCCCGTCGGCGGCTCAKCTAGGTCCTTAAACTCTTCCAACAACTTGGCAATAGCAGGGTCTAYAGGCTTCTTTTCCTTAGGCTTAGTGACWGGCCTAACATAGGCTACAAAGACCTGTTCTTCTGGCTGCTCCCTTTTCACTAATCGTGAGAATGCAGGAGCACTAAGGCAACAATGTGCCAAGGAGTCATCTACTCCTGATACATGGTACAAACGCGCAGTCTTGACATCGCCTGACGGGCTAGGGAACCTACACTCATGCTCCCTCAAGTGGAGTGTGGCCCCGGCTGCCTCTCCCCAGTCCATACCCAGGACTATATCGAATGGGAGGCTATCCTCTACGAGGAGAGTCAGGGAATGCAGAACTTTCTCTACTTTCCCATCCTTCTCTAGGCGGAAATACGCCTGGACTCCCTCTATGTAGTCTTCTACTCGCATCGTGCGATTATCCGCAACGATACTGACTACAGGGTCTGCTAACTTTTGGACTTTTAACTGCAGCTTTAACTTTTGCAGCGCCTTCCTACTAATGTAATTACGAGTGGCTCCACTATCCACTAAGGCGCCAACTCTACCTCTAAAAATCTCTGTATCTACCAATATAAGTTGCCGTTTATTCTCCTTCTTAACATTGGCCCAGGCGGGCATCCTCTCCTTCAATTCTTCGGCACAGGCGGGAGGTGTCTAGGGAGACCCTAACACAAGCAGTCTCTGGGCAGCTATCTAGACACCGGCCTGCAACCTCTGCCATAGGCACATGTGGTGTGGGAGTCTCCYGCCGGCTARCGCTATGTTCCCCACATGGCCTAATGGTAGGGGCAGTTGCTACCCCTACCGGCGGCTGCCTTTTGGCCCTTGAGCAGCCGTTCGGGTCTCTCGATACTGAGGACAGTATTTGATGATATGGCCCGGGTCACCACAGAAAATGCACTGCCCCCGGTCCAATCGTTGTTGCCATAGACTCTGGTCCAGACCCAAAGTTTCCCAAGGCCTTCCCTGTGGTAGCCCTAGGTGCCATCCTCCTACCCTATCGGGAGACCTGTTCCTAGGACGGTTTTGCGGGGGACCTTGACCCCTTCCTCCCGCCTGGCGATTTCCTCCTCTACCGCCAACCCCCTGATCACCCTGAAACCGGCTCCCTGAGGTCCGGCCCCCTTGGCCCTGGCCTCGTCCTCCTCCTTGCGGCCTCCCTCCAACCGCGACAGCAGCGTAAGTTCTCCCCTGGCCCACACCGCTGTCCTCCTCCTCTAACCCCCACTCAATCTGGTCGTAGGGGATGTTATCCACACTAGCCTCATCTAGAGTTAGGACAAGACTATCCTTAGTCTTCCCTTGCCCAGAGATAGTGCGGCATTTCCACTTCTTGCCTTTGTCCAAGTCCTTGTGCCAGAAAGTGGAAACTGATACAGACTTTGCCTCGAAGGCTACCACCTCACGACTAAGGGAATCGTAAGTGGTGGCTGGGTCTTCGCTCTTCGCGAAGAAGTGCCCTCGAAAGGCTTCGGGCATTGCCCGATAGAAGAGGGCAACCAACTGGGTGTCAGTGACCCCGTGGTCAGGTACAACCACTAATTCATCCATTGTGCTCTTGAGTGCCCTGACACTCTTCCACTGACGAGAGTGGATCGTCTGCAGCCTGTCTGAGGCTTTAACAGTACGAGCGACATCAGCAAATGGCTCGCGCAACAACTTCAGGAAATCGATGAGGGGAGTGAACGACGAGTACGCAACTGCATCATCATTGCAGTTGGCAACAAGAACTAGGGACCTTGCGAAGCTGGCGGCCTCGTCTCTAAGCGCGTGGATCGCAATTAGAACATGCTGATCCGGGGAGACCTGTTCCAGATGCACATAGGTCTTGACATTGGCTTCCCAACTGTCAAAGTTTTCTTACCGTTTTCCACTATAGGAATCAGGGAATTTGACTTTGACCGGCTCCCGGCGAGGACGTGCTTCCTCCTGCTTGGGAGCCGCCGCCTTGACGCCTTCGATGGCGCCAGCACAAAACCGCTCCGTCTTGTCGAGGCGGTGGCCCACCTTGGCTCCTACAGCTCCCACCAACTCACGAGCAAAGTCCCGAAATCCCAATCGTATCGAACGCACAGCTATATGCTGACTCCTAGTGAAGTCATACTGCTCTGCCTGAATTCGCGCTAAGTGTGCGACGTTTCGGGCTATGACCTCCATTTTCTTTGGGAGTTCAGCTTGGGCGGCTAATTGCTCTTCTACCTTTTTTACCTCCTCCAATTCTTCCGCCGCATCTGCTGCCGCGTCCACTCTCCTCTTCTTCTCCCTCATCACTGCCAGTTTCCACTCCATCCTCTTCTCATCTTCCATCGCCTGCCGCTTTATGACATCTTCCTCTGCGTCCCAGGCTCTCATAGCGGCTTCCTGATCATCCTTGGGGATATACATCGCCACCTCTTCTTCTTCACCCAGGGATAGGTTGGCGACCCATTATGAAATCCGTTTTTCCATCTCATCATCTCTGCTGCCACTGTACTGCCCCCTCTTCCTTTTGCAGTGGCATTTCATCTTCCTCCTCTTCCTCTTCCACCTCTTTCAGCTTCTCCTCTTCCTCTTTCTTTATTCTGTCCTTCTCTCTGGCCATCTCTTCCTCTATCTTCTTCAGCTTGGCCACCTGCTCCTCCTGTAAGGCCTTCTTCTTGACCTCTTTCTTCTCCTTTCTTTCCCTCAGGACGGCGGCCATCTTCTCCTCCTCCTCCTTCGTGTACGGCTTAGTGGAGGCACCACCCCGGGTATCTACTCTACACGTAAAGGTGTGCCAGAACCCCCGAGGGAATAGGAGACGCCAGAGGGTCCCCCAGAGGGAGAACCCAACAAGCAACCCATACATCGGATAGTCATCCATCGTGGTGTCACGTGCATGACAAGAGTCCCACTCCTCACCACTTAGACCTAGCCGGACACCGACCCACAGACTGACTCTCTAAGGTCACTACCCAAAACTACTCTAAGGCTGTCACTACTAAACCAACAGCTGATCTGGAGGCATTTAAGGAAATCCCCCAAACTCCGCAAGAATTCTTTAACGTCGCAGTCAGGATGACGTGATCAGTGTGGTTCTGCCTGTGCTTTCAACCCACAACTCAGCCTTTCCGGCCTACTGTGCCACACCGAGCAGCCCGCCGGTCTGTACCGGTCCTTGGAGGGGTT